AGGATCCTTCTCAAAAGTTGATTTCTGTGTATCTCCCATTACACCCTCTTATGTTGATTTACTCTAGATGTTGCACACCTAAAATTAAGAATTGAAACTAAGTTTCAAGGATCCTTCTCAAAAGTTGATTTCTGTGTATCTCCCATTACACCCTCTTATGTTGATTTATTCTAGATGTTGCACACCTAAAATTAAGAATTGAAACTAAGTTTCCTTGTTTTCCTTAATTTTCCTAATCAACTGCAAACAAAGGAATTCCAAGAGAAAGGCAAAGCACCCCAGCTGATTATTAACTCACCTTCTTGCTTAAAGGAAAATTGCATCCACAATAGTTAGAGGTATGAGTCAGCTGTTTTTATGTTGCAGCACTGCTTGACTGAGGTTATTGTCTTGGAGCTCTCCCTAGGAGATAAGGACTCCGACCCTGAGATAACAACAAGGGTTTGAAGCTCACCAGTCCACCAACTGCAGACCCATAATGCCAAAACACCCAGTTCGTCATGGGACCCTGACATCTGACTCAGACCCTCTGCTGATCCTGTGACCAGCTTCCCCTTTATGTGCAGGACAAAACCCTCACCTCACCTTCCTGCCTCTTCTCCTTTATAAACCCAAGAACATTCATCAAAAAGGGGATGATTTTAGCCTGGTCAGCCCGCAGATGCCGGTTATCTGAATGACACTTCTAATCCTTGCACCAACTTTTGGACTTTGAGGTAATTTGTTTAACGTGAGAGGGCAGCTGAGCCTGTTGACAGTAACATTTGGAGGTGGCATTATGTTTGTTTGTCCCATTCTGCTGATTCTCTGGCCTGTGCCATAAAAACTGCAGTCTGTTCCCAACACACGCTGCCCCTTCCATTGGTCTCCAGTCCGCAGCACTCTGGAGCTGAAACTTTGAGGAAAAGCCAGTGACTTAATTCCAGAGTGCTTCAGCGAGGGGAACTTCTCTGTAAAGAACCCTGAGTACTGAGTAAAAATGTTATTAATATTATTAATGACCTACAATTGGAAGCTTTCTGCCCTCTTTTTGTTGTTGTTGTTGCTATTGTTCTCCTGTGGAAAAACTGAAAAGATTACTTTGTTATATATTTTTGTCTTTTGATCAAAGGGGAGGTGGACAGACCCCTTCAGAGCCGGGATTATGTGGAGAGAGTGTCTCTGACTTTGAGATATTTTATCCATAGAAATTTCCAAGCTGATGGTTTTTGGGGGTTTGGGGTTTGTTTGTTTGTCTTTTGGTTTGGAAAAACAAGGATTTTTCCCATGCACATAAATTGGTCAGCAGAAAAAGGATCCCAGTAGTGACAGCAAATAGACAAATGCCCTTGCTGGGTTTCCCTTTTCTTTGCAACTGGGAGAGGAAATTGGTTTTTAGAATGAGCGTTGGCCCATGTGGAGGATAGAAGTGTCTTTGTCTGGGGAAAGAGGAACCCAGGAGTTCTGTTGCATTTCCTGCAATCTGCTTTTAGAGCCAGCCTTGCCAGGAGAGCCTCAGACTACAGGACGAGCTCCCCTCTCCCCATCTGTAAAGCTACTCGACCATGCTAGTTGTCAGGCTCTTTTACCTGCCAGTAATCCTGCCAACTGGGCCGATTGTTGAGCTAGGCCTAGGTCTGGAGCTCCCAGACCTCTCAAGCCCATTCACAAACTGGGTCACAAGCCCTTCATATGCCAGGCTGGGTCCTCAGAGACCCATCACATGCCAGGCTGGGTCAGCAGACCCCTCACACACAGGTCTATGAGCTAGGTAACCGGCCAAAAGGCCCTTGGAAGCCATAGGTTGGAAAGCATGGCTGCGCCGGGTGGATGCCCGCCCGCCTGCTTCACCAAACTCCTCTCTCTCTCTTTGTCTCTCCCTGTCTCTCCCTCTCTCTCTCTGTAGAACACAAGAATAGCAACAAAACCAGAAAGATATATTGGCACGCATGCACGCTAACTTCACACACACACACACAGAGTTTGCTTAAAAAGGATGCTGAACCATACCCAACTGGACCCAAGGTGAGGGCCCTGGCCAAACTATTCTATTTTCCCAACAATCCATTCCTTCAGGGTCCTCGCCGTACAATCTACACGTTCAGAATCTTCCATGATATTCCCTTAGTGAAGATAAATGACTCTTACGTTTACATACTACACATTCCATCCCAGTCCCAATAGTCTTAGCTTGTTGCAGCACCAATTCAAAACTCCAAAGTCTCATCTGAGACCAAAAGCAAAAGTCCTTCCAGCCGTGAACCTGTAAAGAGTCAAAAACAAGTTTATCTACTTCCAAGATACAGTGGGACAGACATTGGGTACACATTCCTATTCCAGAAGGGAGGAATAGAAAGTAAAAACAGTCCCCAAACAAATCCAAAACCCAAACATGGCAAACGTTGGGCACACTGGGGCATCTGGACCCCTCAAGCCTTGGGCAACCTCGCTCCTACAGCTCTGCCAGGTGCAGACCATTGAACTGCCCTGGTGCCTGCAGCTTTTCCAGGCTGGTGCCACACATTGCCAGCGGCCCCACGGTTTGGGCTCCTGGTGGCAGTCCTGCCATCTTGGCTCCTAGACATTTCCTCAGTGGGGGTTCTCTGTGGTGGTTCTGACCCCACTTTTCTGCTCCACATTGCTCCGTAGGTGACCTCCGCAGCAGCTCCACCCCTGCAGCGGGTCTCTGCCTGAGTCCCCCAGCTTTATCTTCCAAAATCTAGGTGGAAGCTGCCATGCCTCCACTGCTCTCACATACTGCTGGCCTGCAAACTTAATACAATGTGAATGCCACTAAGGTTTTTGGCTTTTTTTCATCAGAGATGCTGAGGCAGGATTGCTCCAGCCAGAGTGGCTGGGATGCAGGGAGCAGTTTGCCAAGGGCAATGACACCTCAGGTCTGCCCTCCAGGACAACTCAGTTCTTATAGGATGGGTGGGGCGCTCTCCCAAACTTCTCAAGGCCTCAGGGCCTTGTGGTGGGTGGGGCACCCATCCAGACTTCTCAAATGCCTTTAGGACATTTTCCCCATTGTCTTGGCTCTAAGCATCTGGCTGCCTCATCGCCAAGATAATGTCTTTAGCAAGCAGTTTATCCACTTCACCCTTGCATTTTTTCTCCTCTCCACTTTTACATTCTGACTTTTGAATTACTTCAATCAGCTCAGCTTACATCGGCTACTCATTCAGTCTCGGGCAGTTCAGCAGCACTCCCCACCCAGTTCAAACAGCTGCACTCGCCCAGTCCATCAAGGAGTGGCTGCCCTGCCCCTGGGCATATCTGCGGCTCAACCCCCGCCACTGAGACAGGTGCATAGTAACGGAGACTAACTTTTCCACCTTTCACCAGGTGAAAACATACTTGAAATTCTGCAGGGACACCCATCCTCGGGCCATCTGCCCATCTGCATGTGGCACTCTTTCCTTGGGTTTTACGGCACCCATCCAGCCATTGGGTTTAAGTGGCACCCTTCGAGCCATTTGCCTTTGGACGAATGTGACATGCATTTACATAAGTCTCTAGAGCACTTTACACCATCCACCCCAGGTCTCATAGTTGCAGCCGCCAGGGGCTCTCCCTGTTTCTGCTGCTTTACTGTCCCAATTTCTCATGCACAACAGGTCATGCCTGGAGACACACAGTTTCCCCCAACTCACCACTGGGTTGGTCGTCTTCCCTGGTGTGAGGGGCAGGAGTGGCCAGTTGCTGCATGTTGCCCTCTAGGAGATTCATCCGTGCTTCCAAGAACTCTGCTTTCTGCCACAAATTTCGATCAGTTTGCAGCGTAGTGAGCAATAGCCAGGCTCCAGTCAGCAGAAAAGTTGTCACCGGGCACCACACGCTCAAGGACAGCCCCATTTCCTCCCCCCGCCAAGGGGTTTTGCATTGTAGTGCCTGGTCTATGCCGCCTTACAGTACAGTGTGCAGCAATCAGATCCCAATCAACAGGAAGGTGGTCACAGGGCACAGCATATTCATAAGTAGCCACATTTCCTCCTTTTTCCAAAGGCTTTTGGCTCCTGTACCTGCTCAGAATCCTGTCGCAGACTATGCCAATTGTGGCGTAATCCTGCCAATGTCGCCAATTTGTCTGGCTATGGCAAAGGACTGGACTCCTGCTCACAGCTCCAGTTGTCTAGCTGTTAACGCTGTTCATGATGCCAATTGTAAAGCTACTCAACCATGCTAGTTGTCGGGCTCTTTTACCTGCCGGTAATCCTGCCGATTGGGCCGATCGCTTGGCTAGGGCTGGGTCTGGAGCTCCCAGAGACCTCAAGCCCATTCACAGACTGGGTCACAAACCCTTCACATGC